CTTAAAAAAAAAGTGTGTTGTTCACTGAAAGTAAGGTAGAATTTAGCCTGTCCCTAGAAGCCAAGCAAGGCCAGGGAAAGCAAGGCGGGTGTTAATTCTTGATCTGGAAAACAAAGGATGTGCATTTAATTAGCTAATATATTTTGCTCACTACTGAGATGCTACATCAGCTTCAAGTTACTACAAAGCTACAGCTAAACATTTCTGTTGGAAGCAGCAGTGTTTTGTTTTTCCCAAGTCACATGAACTCTGTCTCAGAGCTTACTGATTCCTCCCAAACATGCTGAAATACCATTGCCTTCAGGGAACAGCATTTGTCCTCAGCTCTTCTAGATCCAACACAGCTCCTCAAGCAAATGCTCGTCAGAGAGCTAGTTCCGCAGCACCTGGCTCTTCTTTCACTGGAGAACTGCCATTGACTTTGCCAAAATTGTGAACCCCAAAAGAGATGCAACTCTTACCTCCTTCCATCTGCTGCAGAAACAAACCCATGAAACATAGACAGGCTTCCACAAGTTTCAGAGTGAGTCTGTTGCAGAGCCAGGAACAAAACTTAGGTCCACCTGACTTCCAGTCCTGCCCTTTGAATGTGAAATCCGTAGCAGGGACAGAGAGACCTTCAGTGTGCACTAGGGACACCTCCCAGGGTAGTGCCCATGTTGGAGTGGAGGACAGCCACACTCCCTTCTCAAGTCCTCCTGCCCCATGCTGGCAGGTCCAATCTGGACCACACTGAGGTCAGCTTTTACAACACATTTGTTTTGGCAGTAATCTGTAGAGTTGCACTGGCAAAGAAATCTCTTGGGCTGCAGAATGGACTTTGCTTTAATCTTGGTATAAACTGTGATTTACTTTTCTAGCAAAAGCTGCTTTATTAAACACAAGGTTCTGTAAAACTTTTCCTTGTCCAGAGCAAGGCTAGGAGTTACCTACCTGATTTTCACAACAAGAGAATATAAGCTACCACCACAGCCTGAATATGGCTCCATATGTCTCCATACTGCCCCTCCGTCAAGCAAAGTAAGGTCTCAGAAGCTCCGCTGCACCCCCTTGCTTCTGCTCACATGTCTGAAGAGGAACACATCGAGAGGGCGAGGAGGTGGTAAAGCCATGATCCAGCCTGTCCAAAGCAACAATCCACATTCCCAGGCAGAGAAGACAAGGAAGGTTTAGCCAGAGAATAAGAGACTGAGTCTCTCCAGGGCCTCACTGCTCTGCTCTTTAGCTCTGTTACAGTTCACAGGATATTATGTGAAGTATTCCAGGACTGCCAGCAGCCACTGCTGTTCAGCAAGGATCCCAGCAAATAACATCTCAACTATAATTACTTCCTGGCTTGTCTCCTCTCTAAAAGTAGCAAAGTTAGTTAAACAGCTTTGTTCATTATCTCCTCCTGTGGCCTATGCTGTTCATAGCCAGAATTTTCACTGTGCATTTTTAGCATCTCTCTTCACAATGCAGAGAAGCAACCAGACAACAGAAATGCATAAGACACCTCCACTTGTACAGGAAACATTTTTGTTATTCTGCACTGTCTCAGACACAGGATAAGAAATCCCATCTGAAACTGCTTTCTGCCATTCTTGCAAGCCCTAGTGTAGAAACAGAAATGGATATGATTGCAGCATTGTGTTTTATAACCATGTGAGATGAATCTCATATGTACAGAGGAGAAATAATTCCCAATGAGTTGCCTATCTGATTTTTCTCCAGCCTCTTCTGTTTGCAGATCACACCAGGAGTCTTCAGCTTCCCTGAATTTATTCATTACTCAAATTATCTACTGAGTGATTTCTAGTGTCTATTCTCATCCTGTAAAATTTTCAATTTCAGAAATTTAAGCTGCTTTGCTGAGTTGAAAACAGGCATATGTTTTGTGGGGGTATATCTGGGTCTCCTTATTAAGGTGAGGAGTCCTAGAATTACATTTTTGGTGCATCTAGAAGTTCACAACACACTTTGGACATCAGGGGATGACACAGCTTTGCTCAATAGCAGTCCTTTAGTTGGGGATCACAGTGTCTGAAAGAGCAGGCAGAGTTCTTGGTGCTCATGATGATGTTGGAGCATATGGGTGCGAGCATTTTTTACTGCCCTCTGTGGGACATGCAGCACCCTGGAGGAAACAGTGTTAACACTATTGCTCTGTGAGGTTTATGGCCTGTAGTGCCTCCTGGAAATAAAAATTTCATAGAGTTACAGCTGCTTCTGTGGTCACTAATAGCATCTCTTGGCATCAGACTCTCTAGTAAGTAGCCAAGCACCCTGCAGTATAAGTAGCATCACGTTCTGTCACACTTCCAGGGAACCCAGCAAAGACCAAGGGTTCTACACAGCTGAAAAAAGGAGAAAAAATCCCTGCTCAATTTTTATCAACATTAGCAAAGCTGACAGAAAAAACAGAGAGGATATCATATCCCAGGAACTGACCATTGAAGATAGAGTTCTTTTGATGCCCAGTGGTTAAACCCTACTTTCTGCTGGGTTCTGTGAGACTGCATGTTTGTACTAGTTTTGGCTGGGATAGAGTTAATTTTTTTCATAGTAGCTTGAGCAGGCAGCTCATCGGCACCTTCCATCCCCATGCTTGGAAAGAAACCAAAAGAGCTGCTTGTGAGACACACACACACAGAGGAGTCTCCTTCCTTCCACACCTCTGCTTTGACAACTGCACTGTAATACATCTTTGATACCCAGCCCCACTCCTCCCCTCAAGGCCTCTCCAGTGGCCAGAGCTTTATTAATGCAATTTTACCTCTTGCTCCAAGTTTCAGTACCTTGCACACATTTGGGAGGCCATGAGATTCTCTGATCATGTCAGAGTACTTGTTCATGAATATTGATGGAGAAAAGGAAAACCACACACAGAGCCATGCTTATAAAACCTCTGTGGATCTAGTAAAAGGTCAGCCTTTCCCTTCCCCACATTCAGCACCATCATTTTTGGGAGCAGATCAATTCTTGCTAAGCTACTGAAACACTCAAATTAACCTGAGCAAAAAGCAGAGATGGGTGATCATCAAGCACAAGCATGCACTTAAACACCACCACACATAGTTTCCTGGATCGACAGCTATAAAGTGAAGGAAATCACTAATTTCACAGTGATTCTGTGTCAACTGTGCTGTTTCTTTCCATCAGGAAGTTCAAAAGGAAGGTTTTGGGGCAGGAAACTAGGGAAAAGAGAAGCAGCCCTAAAAAGTTTCGATGTTGGAAATCAATAGCAACTAGAGGAGAAGTAAGAGGAGAGATGTCATTTGCAAGTAGTTTAATGTTCTGGCATTTGCACTGCCTATTGATTAGAAAGTGCAAAAAATGCAGATGAGGACAGAGGGACTGATGACAGAAAAATCAATGGCTTCTTTACAGGAGTCATTCAATAGTAGTGAAGGAAATTTGCCATTTTGCAGAAATCACGTCAGGTGGGTGTGAGCTGGCATGATCCCCTACTGCCCAAAGGAGGAGGATGTCCAAGCCTTTCACCTCCCACCTGCCTCTCATTAGCTTGTGCTGCTTCTGAGCTTAGTGGAGTGAGGAGAGAGGAAAAAGCCCAGTTCTATTCCTGAGCCTGTTGCCAACGTGTTGGCTGACCCTAGGCCATCATTTCTGTAAAAAAAATTAGATTATACCTCTTCCTGCTACCTAACTGTTGTGCAGCTCAATTAGTGAACGCTTGCATGGTACTTTAAATATACCAAACTGTAGAACAAGCAGCTGTTACTATAAACACGGTGCTGATCACAGAGTACCATCGACCACACTGTTTATTAAGCTGGAGCTGAGGAAAACCTCACACTCACTGTGATCTGTTTAATAGTTGCTACATTTATTTTACTGTGTACCTAAATACATGCAAGGGGCTAACAAGACAGCTTGATTAGATACAGCAGATCTATGTCATTGCATCACAGTTAATTTCACCTTCACACTGACCACGGCCTGACTGAGGTTGTGACCTGGATCCTTGACAGCTGTGCCCTGTTATCGTATTTTTCTGATTAACATGAAGACAGGACATATGGAAGACACTTTCTTTCTAAACCAAGAACACATGCATGAGTGACCATGACAAATGGAGGGATCAAATCCCCGTGTGGACTGCAGGAACACACAGAGATGCAAATTATTATACTCTGCATCAAGAACACATCCAGCTTTCCAGCGAAACCCTAGAGATGTCACTCATTTTCATTGCTCATTGACTTTGTCACCCATGTTTCTCTTACTGCTGCACTAAATCTTCTGGGACTCAGGTGGGGAATGACAGAGCAAGAACAGGGCAAAGCCCCTGGAATGGCCACTGTTCAAGATACCTATCTTGCAAACAACATTTCTAGGCCAACCTGGGCATCTAACAACACATGTCTACATCTGTGTTGACTGGCCAAACTGCCTTGACAAGAAACAGAGAGATCTCTTCACTAATCGATTCATTAACAGAGATAGAGAGCCATCCAGATCATGACTCATGCAGTCTGAGACATCTCACCTGGGATAAAGTGAACATGACCTAGAAACACTTTATCCCTGTTGCTGTTGATGCCTACAGCAGTGCAATATGACTCAACCCAGCAAGTCAGCACAAAGTTATCTATATATTTTTGTCTAGAAGTGGTGAAATCTCTAGATAAAACAGGAGACATCCAGACTGACAGACCTCTGCTTGCAAAAAAAATGGTTCCTTATGACAGTTACCAACTGATATTGAGATCAAAAGCCTCTAAACTAGCAGCAGCCATTTCTTCATGCTCCTCTTACAACAGCTCCCACAGTTTCTTCCCATGCAAACTTGTTTCTCTGGAAAAATCAGCAGCAACTTGACTCTTGGCTTGAGAGTTCAGTCACCACTGAATGCTTCAGCAAGGCCATGCAGAATGTGATGCAGGGACACAGCAAACACTGGTGTTGATAGAGGGACAGAGGGAGAGAGACTGTCCCTCCACAGCCAATGGTTTAAGCAGAGCCAAGGACTGAGAGGCCCTGCCAGCTGCAACACTCACCAGGTTGACGAAGTCCTGGTAGCAGATCCTCCCCTCAGAGTTGCTGTCTGCCAGGGCCAGCAGGACCTCCAGCTTGTGGGGGTCCAGCTCTGAGCCGTGTCTCTGGAGAAGGGAGCGAAACTTCTCAGTGCTGATGTAGCCGGTGTTGTCAGGATCGAACTGGGATAGGAGGGGAAAGTGCCAGAATTAACCGTTCCACGTTACAGACAACTCTACCCTCCCATGCATTCATCACCCGCTGCAGACCCACAGTGACCCCAGGGGCTGCTCTAGGCTTTGGTGATGCATTGCCCTGCAATCACCCCATCTCCAGCTTCCTTTCACTGCCCAGGGACTGCAAAGCACCCTGCTGCTGAGAGGGGTGAACCCAGGCATCATCCACACCATCACCCCATCTCCACCCAAGCTTCAGCTAAGTCAGCTCCCTTCACCTTCCTTCCCTCTGCATCATCATTTCTCTTGGTTATTTTTTATATGCCTCTCTATCTGGACTATCAAGCAAACCAGAGATGCAGTCTGTGAGATAAATCATACTGAAAACAGTTTTACTCCTGTATTTCCTAACGCAATTGCAATACAGGAACATGCCATCCCTCCTCAAGCCCTTTCTGTGCTCAGTGTTTCTGACAGTCACCTTTCCAGATCACCTCTACAGATACCTTCAAAATGGTAAGTGCTTTCACTGCTAAGGAGCTCTCTATTTTAAGATGGATTGGAAAGAAAGTCTTTGGACAGGGAGCAAAGCAGATGATTATGTCAAACTAAAAGTGACAAGGCAGCCACATGCCATTTTCAGAATGTAAACCACAGTCATTAGAAGAAAAGTCCCAGGTGAGATTTGGAGTGAATCCCACTCTGACCAAAAACATCACTGTTTTCCCTCAGACTAAGTGGTTAATCTCCTAAAAATGCCACTGACCGAAAAGAGACAGCTTTGCATGGCTGTTCAAACTTACTACTGCTTCCAGCGGCCTCTAACCTGCACGGAGCTCCCCAGGGCACTCTGCAAGGGGCTGCCAGCTCACAGGCAGGCACAGCCCCAGCCCTGACAAAGCCAGCACTGGCACCACGCCGAACGCATTTCTTTTGTGCTTTGAAAACTAGTGGATGCAAGCTGCCAGACCAGCCCGCACTAGCTGTGGTGCAGTCTGATCTCCACCAGCTCCCTGTTGCTGGGAGATTTGCCTTTGATTTCCCAAACTTGGCTGTGAGGACCCTGGTACTCACTGGCCTCCTTTTGTAGATAATGATATCAAGCTTGTTGACTGGATTGAATGGCTGTCAGGGGGCAGCGTGGCCAGGAAGGAGTCTTTTCATGGAAACATTTGGGACATAAAAGGCCTTGGCAAAGCCAAAAAGGTCCTGACAATCCTCGCTCTTTCCTAACAGAGAACAAAAACTGAACAGGCGCCGGGCCTCCAATCTGATGCGGCAGAGTAAAGGCTGCCTTGGCAAGGGAGGAGGTGAGAAGGGGCATGTGGCAGAGGATGCAGCCTGCCAGTGGTAGGGCTGGCACTGTTCTGCAGTGAGCAGAGCAGCTATAAAACAGACCGGCCTCAGGCATGGGCAGCTTGTTTAGAGAACACAGTGCCCACGTGTGAGGATCTGGCTCCGTCTCCTTCTGACCTGAGCACCTTTGTCCCGCTGCTCCTGGGGACTCTGCTATCACTGGCTGCTTTGTTGAGGAGGAGATGTCTAACCTGAGATCACAGCCCTTTGTTGGAGCAGGGTTGGTCTGCTATTTCATCAAAGCAGCAGCCCCTCTGTGAGGAAGCTGCTGGGGCAAGTGATTACACAAAACAAGACAAACCAAGTGACCTGTGGACAGTCAGAGCTAGGCACTCTCCCCCGCCCTCTGCCAAGGGTTGTTCTGTCCTTGCGAGGTTGCCTGGATGTACCTTCCTGACAGCTGGCACCCAGAGCCAAAGGTGGATTTCACCAGCTGTTTACTGTCAAACAACAGCTCAATATTAATCCCTGGAGAAGTTTAGCTCCCCCACTCCAGTCAGCCCACTCCATTGCTTTGAGTTAACAGATCAAATTCTAAAGCCAACCCCAAAATCAGGGCTTCTCCACTCAGGCTCAGCTCTGATGCTTTTTGGCTCTTGCTGGGACTCCCAAGCCAGCCTAAGTGTGCAGTGCCCAATCCCAGAGGCACAGATACCCAGGAAATAAAGTATTACTAGCATAATACCTGAGATGACCTTTCTCAAGGGGAATTTGCAGAAGCTGGGAGATGAGTCATTCAGTGAATGGATCTAACACCTTGCAATCCCACAGGTACTGCTGTGTTCATCCTTGTTTCCTGAAAACATTTGACCTAACCAACATCTTACTTAACTGCACCACTTTAACTATCTCTTGACATTTAAGATGTCAGAACCTATCTTGTCTAGGACAAAACCATTTGCTCCTTGAAGGCTTAAATGCCTCCCTACTTTGAGGGCCAGGATCAGTGACTGAAGCATGGAACTATCCCCCCGTGCTGCGTGCTCACTGTTTGACTTTGTAGGAAAGACCAACGGTCACAGCAGTGGGGAACGCGGCTATTCCTTCAAAGGGCAGAAGAGATACAGAGCTGAAGCACACAGGCTCCCGAAGCACAAAAGAGCTGCTCAGATCACAAACCACTTTTCCCAGACTGTTCTGCTTCAAAGCACTCCAAAAAGAAACATTTTGTAATCAAGAACAGAAATTACACAACCACTTCAGAGCTTCAAACCAGTCCACAAGGACACCCTAATGACTCCAGACTCACTAGGCACTAGAGCAGATACAATCCTGTCACTCAAGACGGTACTGTCCATACCTGTTACTGGCTGCTGGCTTTCCAAATGGACAGACAGCTGAAGCCTGTCTGGTGGCCGTGAATGAGCCTCTGCTCCAAGGATGCTTCTTTCTCACACCAATAGGCACCAGCATTCCTCCTTCAGCTCACCGTCTTGCTGCTTGTCCCACCAAAATCAAAGCAGTGGCAGAAGGTAGCTAGTATTTTCAGTACTGTAAATGTGCTAGGGAACCTGTTCTCCTCTTTCACGTTACTATATATAATTTTCTTTTTGGCACTAAGTTAATGATACTAATTAGAAATAGGTTTGAATTAAAATGGTGGATCTGAACAGCATGAAAGAGTAAGAGGTAAACAATGAACAACTAGCATCTGAACCAAAAAGGCCTGCCTCAGAGCACAACTAGACCACTGTTTCCACAACCTGGAGCAGAATGTTTTACTGTAAACCCCAGCTGTAAGGGATTTCTCTTATTTATGTTTAAACAACTTTTTTCAGCATACAAAAATCTCATCTGTCACCACAGCACTCAAAATCCACCCGAACACTTCAAACTGCCTCAAAGCCTGTTTCTGATATCACAGCTAGCCACAAAAATCAAGGGGTTGAGCTGGTCCTGCAGAACATGTGTCCCCACACATGGCAAAAACAATGTGCGCACACTCCAAACACTCGGGTCCATCAATTATAAAAGAGGCAACTGACCTTTGCTAGACGTGTCATGTATTTATCCATGATGATCTTGTTAAGGGCCAGTTGTCCCACAAGCCCAGCCAAGCATCTTTGTCTCACCGAGAGGACAGATGATGACTGGCAGCCAGCAGCATGGCTGCACTGAGCGCCAGGTCCAGCCCCACAGGGAGTGCTCTCCCGGCAAAGCCTCCCAGCAGCTAGGTCAGCACAGTGGCTTCCTTCAGCATAGTTACTTCTGCCTCTGCCCATCTATTTGGGCAGACAAGAGCAACACAACCGGTGCAGGGATGAGGAAGGCCATTTGCACCCCCTCAGCCCCCCAAACAATAGAACACTAACGGCAATTTCATGCAAGGTTTCCTCCGCATTTCAATGACAATCACCCTTAACTCCCTTGATCCTCAACCAGGCTCTTAAGCAAAAATGTAAATATGTTAATGACCGTAGCAGCCATCTGACCCAGGATCTTAATTCCCTCAGCCAAAACAAGCTTGCCCATCTATTTGGGCAGACAAGAGCAACACAACCGGTGCAGGGATGAGGAAGGCCATTTGCACCCCCTCAGCCCCCCAAACAATAGAACACTAACGGCAATTTCATGCAAGGTTTCCTCCGCATTTCAATGACAATCACCCTTAACTCCCTTGATCCTCAACCAGGCTCTTAAGCAAAAATGTAAATATGTTAATGACCGTAGCAGCCATCTGACCCAGGATCTTAATTCCCTCAGCCCAAAACAAGCTATTTTTTCCTTATTTTAGAGCAGACACACCATAAACTGAAGGCCCCCCAGCAAAACTACAAGACAAAAATAAGGGTCCCGCAAACTCTGATGGAAATGGGAAATATGGTTGAGAAAAGAAAATGAAATCTTCAAATTGTTCCTCCTCTTTAATTAAAGACACATCAGCCACGGCTGAGTGAGCAAGTAGGGTGGAGGCTGGTGCTGCAGACAGACAATGGGTATCTTGGGAAAACACAGACATTTCACATAGCACAGCCAGCTGCTCCTCTCCCCCATGGCAAACAGCCCTCTGGGGCATCAGAGCAGCTGGAAAGTCAACAGCTGAACTGGGCACAACATGAGGATCCTTGGCTGGTTTTAGACTGCAGATCTGTTGCAGGAACAGAGAATTTGCTACCACCCATGGTTTCCCCATTGAGGGGCTTTGTCTTGGCATCACCCAAGCCGTAAGTTGTCTTTGCGATGGGCAAGGCTCCAAGCAACTTCATCTAATTTGGAAGTTGGCTTTGAGGTGGATCAGTCCCTTCAAATCTGAATCATTCTATGGTCCGGTGGTCTCTTCATTTCTGGGAGAGACTGGCCTGGCAGTCAGGCCTCCTGGCACTGACCCCAGCTCTGCTCCAGACTAGGAGGCAGATTCTGGAAATAAATTGCCCTGAGCTTTAGCTTCCTCTCTTATTATATGGAAATGAAAACTCGTGCCTTATTTTCCACCAGAAAGGAGCTATCAAATAGTAGGTCTGCTTCTTGTCCACTTGTACGCCCTTTTCCACTGGAAAGGGAGAGTTAATCATGTGCAAAATCTGTTCATCTCCAAGGGTTTCAGAAACCACTCTGAGCTTTGCTGGATTTGAACTCAGACCATTAGATGGCATAGTCCCCGCAATCTAGGGGTGCTAACAAGCTTTGGAAACAAGCAGACCATCTCCAGC